AAGCCTCTTGGATGAGGGGCGAAACGTTTCTTTTTAACAAAAAAACGAAGTCCAGATGACATGATTCAACCTTTTTTGTTGTTATATACCTGGATGACTGAGAAAACAAACTTTGTGTATGAGAAGATTACATTTTTTGCAGATTATTTTTGTTGTTGTTGTTGTTTGTTAGTGTGTAACAGGAAAACTGGTGGACGATGGAGGAAAGAGCCCCATGACACATAATTTATGTTCTTTCTTTCCAATCACTTTGTAGTGGTTTTGCTCATCTTTGGGGCCACTTTGTGTCCCTCTGAGGTGTTACCGGGTCCCTCTGTCCCCAGTTTAAACGGACTGACTGTCTAACTTGAACAATAAAGTCAGGTGATCCCATGGCTCTGGCCTGTGGGCCCCCTGGTGTGTGAGGCCCCTATGTTGACCAGGCTTATTTAGTCAGCTGTTCTCAGATAGAGTCCAAATAGCAAACCACAAGCAGGATCAAGTGTGTTTAGGAAATATATAGATGGATCAAGATGATCAAAAAATAAAATCAAAAGGTCCTTCCACTCCTAAATTTGTTGTTATTCATCCACTCACATGCAACCGGTTTACTAGCATTTTTTGAACAAGTGCATATTACTAAGCAAAAGTTTAATCAAGTTATACACTGATGATACTGAGGCTTTTGAACATGTGAATGTTTACCCAGCATGCTTTGCAATGCTCACACTGTCTCTGGGATGTGACTCTCTCACACAGTTCACATATCTTTACTCTAATACAAAGAGATTTATTACCAAGAGAATACTAATGATGACGCACAGCAACTTTGAGGTTGCCGTCAGTGACAGCAGTGCATGATAAAAGTTAGAGCTTTAGCGTTAGCTTCTGCTAATTAAAAAAAAAAAAAATCTGATTAGCAGTTTAGCATTATCAAAGCTAAAGTTTTGGTTAGCTGTGTCCACCACTGGCGTTGGCCATCTTGGATTTTGGCATGGAAACACAATTTTTGGTAGTGACCTTTCTTAAGCCTAGATGCAGTCACATACCACAATGGAAGTCAGTTTAAGTTAAACAGGTCACAAACTGGACAAATTCAATTCCCCTCTTTGATCCATGATGGCAGACAATTAGGATCTTATATGTTTTTTTAAATCCCTAAAAAATGTGATGGACATTCCTCTAACTACCACTGCACCAGCTTTTAGCTTCATATCTGTAGAACTGGTAGAGTTGGAGCCGTTGTCGTGTCATTTCCTGCTTGCTCTCGACGAAGGCGGACGCTTTTTCCCTTGTGTTCTCTTTTCCTTATTAAGGGCAGCGCCTCCCATGAGGCCACAGCCTCAGACACCTCCGTCTACCCATGTCTGTTTGTTTGTTTTCTCAGACGGGCTGTACTGAAATGTAATTTTGCTGTGCTTCGGTGCAATGACAATAAAGATGATTCTGATTTATGTGTTGGTTAAGGTCAGATAACTGTGGCAGCCAACTTGAATTTGATTTACTACAAAATATAACTAGTTGTAGATGAACATCTAATGATTACTTAGTAAAGTTGCTACAAATCTGTTCAGCGGTTCATGAGACATTGTAAATATCAGCAGTTATATATGTGCAGAAAGCATTCCCATTGTATCACAGGTTATAATGGTTTGGTGCTCTTGCTTTAGTTCATACTGGGTTTTATTGGGTTTTGGATTGTTTTTGTTTGTCTGTTTTTCATACTTGCAATCAGAGGCCCTTCATATTTCCTGGTTTCCAGCTCCTTACATTCCACCGTGCCTTCCTTAGTAATCAGCACACCTGCTTTCATTCCCCATCACTGCTCCCAATACCTGTCCTTCTAGGCCTTCCTTTTTGAGTGGTCAGATTATTTTAGTTCCTGTTTCTTCCTCTACATTTTTATATTTTGCCGACATGAAATCCTGCATTTGAGTTTAATAAAACCTTAATTGCTGATTCTGAATCTGCCTAATTTCTCCTGCATTTAGATCCAACAAGGCCTCATCATCTGGCCTTTAATGAACTTCATCCAAAGGTAGTGAATTGACCAGGTTATAATCTACAACCAACCTTGGCTTGATTAACATTCCAGGCTAAACCTTTTAGGAACTTGTACCAATGCACATTTTAAACTAAAAACTAAATAATATCTGATTGTGTAGTTTATAGAGAATTACAGCCCCCGAAGGGGAATAATCAGGGTTACAGGCAAACCTTTGAAAGAAGCTCCAACTACAGAGTAACAAGGCTAATAATAATTAGTGTGAAGCTTGGCAAAACGTCATGAACTGTGGAGTCAGGGGATCTGAAATCTGCTGTTGTTTAATACAAAGAACTGACATCATGTTGCTAAAATCTCATTAAATCTGTTCCCAGGACAGCACTTCTGTGTGTGCATGTGCACTCACTGACTTAATACACCAATACACCAAAATATCACTAAAAGACTCCTAATATACTTCTTAAGATCTCAGATCAAATTGTTCTTGTGCTGAGAAAAGGTGATCCAGGTTTTAGCTTCAGCTTGTTCACAGTTCAGCTGTTTTAAATAAACTGCACTGGCTGCCTGTACATTAAATGAAGGATACAGGATGCCCCAGTAGAAACTACAGAAGTTGTTGTGACTCTACATGGCTCTACATCCTCAAGCCTGGTCCTTGAGGGCCACTATCCTGCATGTTTTAGCTGTTTCCCTGCTCTTCAGCACGTCTGCAGCCCTTTAATCTCTCATCTATTCATACCAGGTGTGTTGAAGCAAAGAAACATCTAAAACATGCAGGACAGTGACACTCAAGGACAGGGACTGAAGTCCACAGGTGACATGATGAGAGTCCACTCACACATTGGTGGTGAAGATGCCGTAGATGAGGTCCTGCTCAGGCAGGTAGAAGGTGCTCTGCAGCTCGTTGTAGTGGAAGGGGATCTCTCCGGAGCGGGAGCAGTTGAGCCTCGCCTTCATGAACGTGGTCCACGTGTCTTCCAGCAGAAAGCGCCCACCGATGTCGTTCTTACAGACTCGGGCCACGCGGGAGTACACCGTCTTGCCACAGTCGTGCTCCACGGCGTTCTCTCTCAGGAAGAAGAAGGTGAAGAGGCCGACGTCGTAGGCTGAGATGAAGTGGGGCTCTGCAGGGAGGGATGAGGCAAGAAGGAGATCATTATGGTGGCTTCAGGGGAACAGGAACATTTGCAACATTTATCTTATCGATACGGTTGCGTTGACCTTTGCTCTGGTTATTGACTGCAATAAAAACTTTGAAGTTGTGCATTTGCACCGGCGTTTAAGTTGACTCGAAAAAGCACCTCAATGTCAAATGTGTAAATGAGCGGAGAGGCTGCAGGGGAGGAAGAAGAGCAGGAATAAAAATGGTTACTAATAAATCTGTGTGATGTTTTGATGGTAAATCCATGTGTGTGTTTGACTCGACGCCCGTCCTGCTTTTACTGCTCCGGCTGACAAGAAATAAGATTAATGACCCCCTCCTGCTGCAGGTAGGAGACTGAATAACAACAAAGTTATTGTCACATACAGCAAACACACAACTCATGCACAATTTATTGCTGGACAGCAATAAAAGGGGGCTTTAAATTATACGTTTTTCTAATGTAAAATCTGGCAAAACTTTGCAGAAAAGCCTTTAACATATGAAAATTACCACAAACTTCTTGTTAAAGAAATGTATTTACCCGCTGTAGTTAGTTCTCTGAACGGCCTCAGGTTGAACAGACTCATTTTGACCTGCTGGACATTTGAACAAGTGGACTGATGTCTTTTTATACAAACTTTGCATCATTTGGTTGTTTTAGCAGAAATGGAATGATGTTCCTGCAGGAGGTGGCCCAGGCTGATACCAAAGCGCTACAGCTAGCTGCTGCTGCTATTTGCGGTTGCAAATGGTCACAGAATTCTTTGCAAACAAAAAGCACTAAAACAAGCAGCTTAGCACGAGAACAGAAAACAGAGATTAAAGAGGTCGTTTCTACAAAAACCAGCTCGTTTCAGAAATGACCTAAATAAATTCCAAGCCCAGCACGAGCGCGCACGAGTCTCAGTGAAAACCTTTCAGCTGTTCTGTTTGGATGTAGTATAACTAAATGAACAGATAAATAAACAAACAAACAAACGAAGGAGAAGAAGTCACAACAGAAGTCGTCTCAGGGCACTGAACAGAAACATTCTGTTACCACTATTTCCTGAGAACTGAAAGATCTTCCTCCCATTCTGCTTTCAGAAACTCTAGGAATCACAAGTAAGCCTACAGTCTGAGAGAAAAGTGCTCTGTTAGGAAAATATGGAACAATGAGACCTCAAATATAAGATGGACCTAGGTTGTTGAGGACTTTGTAGGTTCGACGCAAGATTTTGAATTCAATTCTGGATTTGACAGCATGAAGTTGACTATGATAGAATTATGTGAGGCCATTTAAATTTTAATTTTTGTTTCAGGACCACAGAGTATGAGGACATGATCACAAAAAAAGAATAAAGCCGACATTTAAAACTTCTTTAATGGACAAATAACTGGGTTTCTTTCAGTTTGGCACCGTGTGGCTGTTCTTAAAAGTATATATTTTTATCTCTGTTTCACGTCATTTTAAAATCTTGTATGTAAGTAAATAATAATGTAGTGTGGCAAATAGTAGACTGATAATTGATAGATTTTTTCCCAGTATTCCAAATAAATGAGCATAAGTAGAAAAATATCTCCCTCCGTTCTGTAAATACAACACGGTGTGCAAAGTTTATGAAACGCTCATAGGCTCAATTAGCAATAAATTGCTACAAATTGCTTTAAATTCTCTTTTCCCCCAATGCTTTTAAAAAAAAAAAAGTGATTTCTTTAGAAAAAGGAATGCATCATGCAACGCCTCACAATACTGTGTGACACTGGGCAGAATTATTTTCTTAAGCTTTGACTGAAACAGCTACAAACCATCGTTGAACTCCTAAAATGTATTCCTTCAGGAAATACTAGATTTTTATTAACAGGAAAGTTCCTGACGGAGTAGGACTTTAAAAGTCGACTTGAATAAAAGACCGGCAGGTATTCAGAAGCGGGATGAAGACGGGGAGGACGGATGAGTGGGACGGAGTTTGGTTATGATTGAGGAGGAATGAGCTGCAGGGCTGGGTGGAGAAGCAGAGCAGGTAGACTGAGGAGGTAGTGAGCGGTGTCATTTTTCCTCACAGCACCGACAGGCTGGAATTACAGCACGCAGCATGCGTCGCGCCATGCGGGGACACTGCCCGTGTCTGCGTGCAGGTGTGTGCTCGTCTCCAAGTATTTAGACCATTTGCAAACTGCATGCGAGTCACAGCTGTGCTTGTGCGTGCATGTGTGCGCGCTTGAAAACCACACACACATGCAGAAATAGACTAGTGAGAAAATGGATAGTTGTCCCGATCAGCATAATCACAGCTGGCTTTGTGCACAGTCAGGCGCGCACGTCGGCCTGCACTCGAGCGCTCAGCTTCACGCTGCTTCGGTGAGGTTATGGAGTTGTGTTCCCTCTGGATTTGGGGTGTGAATGAAAATCTCATTTCCAGCTCTAAGCCGCTTCGGTTCAGGAGAACCGCGGGCTGGGGGGG